GGGTGCTCATTTCGCACCTCTGTGTTTAGATCAATTTTCCTCTCTCACCTTCTTGGCTTCAAGGTTTTAGTTTTGAGATTTCTTCTTTTTCAAGCTTCCCGTACCAGTATTACCTCTGAGGTTTGCAGCAGTAGTTTTTTAGAAGAGTCGAAATTCGTATTTGTAAATGATTTCGTCATTGTATCTTCTGTAGTTACTGATAATATTTTGGAGCGTATTTTTTCAAACTTTGGTTTGATACCGTTGTGCCAGTGAGGCCTTAGCACTTAGCACTGGTTGATGTTTGCAACAAATTTTGGGAGACCAGTCGTTTTTGGAGAAGGGGGAACTGTTTATTTCCAGAACTTTTTGAGGTTACATTTTGAACACCTGTATTTTAATCTTTTGTGTTTTTGACTGGAAGCAGGAAAAAAGTGGGGGAAATTTTAAGTCGTACGGGAAAAGCCTTTGGATTTTAAACTTTCCAAAGGGAGGAAGCTGTTTTTATTGTAATTTTATGAATTCAATTAAATTACTTTAATGTTTTGCAGCCGTGAGGTAACTCAGGAGGTTTATGGCTTATGAAAAAATTATTAGAAGTCACAGGTATTAAATTGAAGGTAATGTGTGCAAAATTACTGACTGCTTATTGCTGTATAGCCATTACTGAGTTAATGTTGTTAGAGCAGTATACAAAGAAGTCTTTTTTAAAACTAGAATTGAAAAAATCAAGAAGACTGTGAGGAAAGTTGGTGATTGATTGTAAGTATGGAAGCCTTTAGTCGAGAATGTACTGTATGAATTATTAGAAAATTTATTTCTCTTTGGAACTATTTTGTGAGTTATGCACGCTGAAATTAGATCCTCCAGAATGGATTGTTGTATTGATATTTTTGATTAACAAAGGAAGCAACAGAAAAGAAATAATTGCCGATAGCCTTTTTTAGACGGATGTATGCTTTCAACTTTTACATGCGTCTTGGGTGGGATTCATTTAGTTTATGGATTACTCTTTAGTTCAGTTTATGTGGTTTACTCTTATCCTTTCCTTGTTGAAGTTCAGAGTTCGTTGTGATAGCAAAACCATTATGTTGTGGTCTTTAGTTTTGGATTATTGTGTATTTTAATTCCACACTGAAGTTTGAAATGAGCTTTTGTTGAAAGCGATACTTTTTTTTTTTTCTGTAACTCATTGTTTATCTCAATACACTTTTCAAATGGACTGTTCTGGGAAATCGGGGTATTATGTTTTCTTCATCTGATTTTACATGATTATTTATTCGTATCAGTCTTCCGTTTTTTTTTTTTTACTTTCGTGCATTTTCTTAATGGAAGATGCACGGTACACTTTTTTTTTTTTTTTTTTT